AAAATTTATTTTCACTATGTTTATCATAATAATTAACTTGAAATTTTTACATTTAACTTTTGATAAATTAAGACATTGAAAGCAATTTTAATATAATTATTGTATTTTTTGAACAATATAAATTTCCCATACTGAATACATTGGTGTATATCTAATGATAGCTCAGAAAAAACAACATTACAACGTGCAAGTGAAGAAGTAAAAGAGAAATTTCAAATTATACACACACAAATAAAATCCAAACAGTTGTCCGGTGTACAAACACACTCATACTTTCACCTTCAACACGATTTTGCTCATATTTTTTTACCATACACCTTTCCTTTTTCAAACGAAATGGAAAATACGCACCGGTTTTTTATTTTTACCGTTTTATCGTCATTATGGAAAAATAATTAATACATAAATACTACAAAAATGACCTCGCAATAATTATTGAAACAGATAAATGTCGACTTAATAACATTTATTTGAATATCAGATCATTAGCTGGTTGATATAAGTCCCTGAACGACAGTGTCGGATGATCACGCGGGCGAAAAATGTGGGTCTGGGACAAGACGTTCAATCAGGATGAACGATGACGGTAGAGGAACTCGTCACAACTTTGTAATATTTTATGTTAACTTTTCAACAAGGGCAAATCTAATAGTAAAACCTATTACTAATAAAAGAAAATAGCAATAAAGAAAAAATATCATTGAGTAATTCTAAAACGGTTCACCTAATTCGTAGCAATAATGTTAATAAGTGTTTATTATGTGGACTGTGAAAAAAATAAGTCTTGTGTAAATTACATCTTTACAATGTATGCTTTTTTTACACAATATTAGATGACGATTATGAGTAAAACAAAGAAAATTTAAATTAGCCGCTGTGCAATGAACGGTTCTTTTTCAGATAAAAAAATATTGTACCAATAAACTCGGTGTAAAATTCAAAATTGAAAATGCTTCACAACACTTGAGTTGTCTCGATTACAAGGTTAGATTAGGCAAAGTCCGCCGTGACCGTTCTCAAGGTAATTAATTTGTAGTGTTTCGAATTGCGGGTGTTTTGTCTAAAAAAAGATTATTCACGACCAATTCAGTTGCTTTATTATCTTTATATCGTGAAGATAAAATAATTGTTTTGAGAGCTAAATTTGCACGATACGTTACATGTTATCGGAGACATTGAACACAGACAAGGACGACAGCGATGTTTCGTTCAGTGTCAACGAGACACCCTGTAAGTTATTTCGTTTACATACGAATTTCATGACCATCGCCTACACATATTCATATACTATTCTCCTTCTACCACTACTGTTCGACGTCACTTATATCTGACTCTCATCTGCGACAACCGACTGAACGGCCTTGCTTACGTGAAAGTGTCCGGACTGAAGGCTATGACCTTCTTCTAGGGTCATTATGAATAATTTTTTTTGCAACTAAATTTACTTCATCTGTCGAATAATAAAATTAACATTTGATGTTTAACGATATCTCGGTTAGGAAAAAAATAGTGTTAGTAAAGCCCTTTGTTGTTTGACTACTAGTCGTCTCACTTGAAAGTTCAATGACTTTTTCCGACAGGTAAAAGAACGAATCAGACGCGGGGGAATCGTTGAACTGTGACATCCCTTATTTTAACACTTTACAGACTATACTTGTTATTTTTTATCACGTCGAGACCATATACTATAGTCAATTACTAATAAGTTTACGTCGAAAGATGGTAACCGAATCTCGGTTAATGTTTCCCTAAGGTTAATGGACTCAAGATACACGAAAAATTCAATACTGTAAACATTACACGGCTTACTACTGTATTAGATAAAAAATAATCGAATGCCGCCGACTTAAAATTATTATTTTACAAAGATCCATATAAAAATCATTAAAAAAAAAAATTAACCATTTCTAGTTGAGTACCTTAACAATTGAAATGTTTTTTAATAAATACAGTTCAAGTTAAATAACAAATTCGTAACGTAGGATCTATTTATAACTATCAACACAAAATGAAACAAGAGCCGGTAAATTTCAAGTGCCATTTATTATTACAATACGCGTGTTCGTTTGGAGTGTACTCGCCTTTGATAAGTGTTAGATATAATTGCTAATTACATGCGATAAACGTCGAGCAAACAATAAACGGTCGTCAGAAAGTAGAACAGCGAACGCCCACCCGTTCGACTGCACGTTTATGTTTTCCTTTTGTGTTGTCGTCATGGCGACCAGTGTGACGTATCACGATCACCACCGACCTGGGGCAAAAGCATTTGGGTTGCGACTACCGCGATGCGTTTGTCGCCGCCTCTGTCGACCACTTGATGATCTTACATCATATACATATGCTTAAGCCCTTACATACCTGATTGTACTAAACTATGCCGCCTAAACGCATTATGAGTACTCAGCCTTACAAACTGTTACAATAATTGCTTTTTGTTCGTCAAAATCGCATTTTGTAACTTTTCAACAAATATTATATTAGTCACACGATAGGGTGTATTGTTTAAAAACACAATTATTAAAGGAGCAGACGAACTTATACGTTTTAGTTCTCATGAAAAACGACCAATAAAATTAATACTACTATCAAAATACTCTTATTATTACATCAATTAATGAAAAAAAGTCAATTAATTTTGGTATTATTTTTAATTCTTTCTGTTTATGTTGGGCTTTAAAAATTACATAACACGGGTCATTGTTCTTTCATTTCAACAGAACTCTCCGTTCCTGATAATATCTAATATTTTTTAATTGTAAATATAATATCCATAACTATTACATAAAATATATTTGTTTTACTTTAACTTAAAACTGATTAAAAACTATATTGAATAATGGCACCATTGGTGTGTTAAAGCTATAGGAGTATCTAAGGTTATCGTTTAAACGCTAATCATAACAAATTTAACAAACATTATTATGAGGTTATGATAAACAAGAGCGGCTTGTTTGAAAGTAAAACAGAAGAATACCAAAGTAGAGTACGAGGCGTATTAAATTCTTCGCATATTTCAATAACATGGACTTTACTCGAACTTAAGTTGACGTTGTACGAATATGTTATATATTTACAAGACTTATAAGATTCTCAGAAGGTCGATTCAAAATGCCCATAATATTTCCAATTAATATTCTCACGTGTATTATCAAAATACAATCTTCGACCAAAAATATGAACCCTCTATAAAGCACGTGCTGAATTTTGTCTTATTAGAAAAGAAAAAATCTTTTGTGTTAACATGAAAAATACAAAACCTCATCTGCCATTTTCTCGACAGAGTATATTAATTAAGGTCACGTCATTATTGCATTACTAGAATAAACTCTGACGGTTTCAATTATAACTATTGGAAGTTGAACGCTAGACAATTGGGTCACCCAACAGAAAAATTACAGGATTGGTTGATTGCTCATGAGTGATCAATTAAATAACGATTAAATAAAAGATAATATTGAGGTTAATAATTTAACATTTAATATTATAATTACATTATATACTATTAAATAAATATAGGTAATCGATTCTCTTAGGGATGTAAATACTATGAAATTTTATAATTCAGTTGTAATTTAACTTTCTATAAAAACACATTTTTTTACCGTTGATTTTTAAATCATAAGATATAAAAGAGAAACGTCAAAGTTTAATTATTCTTGACGACTGTTTAGTACTTAATCTAGCAAACGACCTAAATTGTCGATTATAATAGATAAATATTCTAAGAACAACCCGATAATAATAATGATTAAGCTGTCTTTATCATAAAAGTGTGGTCAGACATGTTGCAATTAATTAAATAATATGATTGTATAGTTATATGTTTATAATCCATAACGTATTGCATATCATAAATAGATGAGTTAGTATAAATTTTTTGTTTACGACCGAGTTTTAATAAATTGAAAACCAATTTAATTAACTCAACCTATTTGTCATTAAATAATATATAAAATAAAACTGGTGAGAAAGCAACTTGTTTTACTACTTAATAACTTTCTTTATAAATAATTTCGATTTTTGATAAAATTCATAATATTTTAAGTATTACTTTTTCATAATTTGTAATAAAAATAAATAGTTTTGGATATTTTAATATAATAAAATATTATATTATTGTATCAAGTTAAGTGACATAATTTTGTTTAAAAATGCACACGACATATTTTCTTAACGAACAAATTTTTCTTAAAAACATCCTATTTAAAAAATATTTCAAAAACATACTGGCGCCAGGTTAAAAATTTATCACAATTGTAATAAAAGTAAAAAAACATACATTTTCAAATGAAGGACTTAAAAGCTCTTAAAAATAGCCTTAATTTCGATTAATCATTATGCATAGCGATTGTGATGATTACAAAGCCGTATAAGTATATTGTTGTATAAATTACTTTATTGGACTTAAGGCGATCACTCTATGACCTCTTTATTTCAAAATAACAATACTTAAAAAAAACTACATTTTTTGTTTGATGTTTAGTAGGCCCAATTGACCTCTAATATTGATAATCGAAAAAAGACGAGAACATGCTATAATAGCTAGTCTATCTACTGTAACTAAAATATACTCTAAGGTATTAATTGTTATTCTTTATTTCTCTAAAGCTTAAGTATATGTGTTTAGTTATTTTTATCCTTTATTTTTTTTATCATATTATCAACATACCGTTATGATATTATAAAACAGTTATGGTCGATGCGGAGAAGTTAGTGAAAGTTTTTCGTTTACTTTCACTGTAGAGGGCCGTAGTAAAGATCAAACAGCACAACATTATTTGCAGTAATAGTAGTAATGGCAATACAGTGGTAATAGTCGTAGGTGGATTCTGGTTTTTTCTTTCAGTAAATTATAGCGCAACACGAATAAAATAATTTTTGAAGAGAAAGTACCGTTATTTTACACGTTCAGTATATTTTTAAAATCCGTTTTTGGTCTATCGCATCATTAAATGCAAAATAAAAACACTTCTAACATTTTCAAGAACGACAAAATATATACTTGTGATGTATAGGAAAAAATTATTCATACCATACAAAATGATAGTAAAACATTTGACTAATTTAGTAATGTAATAATAAATTTATTTACATTTGGAGCGCAACAACTTTCAATTTATAGCTGCGTTCTTCTTTAAGTCATCACATTTTATAAAATAACACAATATTCAATTAACTGTTAGCTCAGCAATGGATTGCTTTTGGCAACCAAAACTATTTGTTCGCCTCTAATCATCAGCCTGGGTACCTGTCTTCGACACACATGTCGCCCTCGTATTCGTTTGACTACGTTGTACGGTTTAGGGGCTTCGTCCAATTGGACCATATTACCTATAAATAAAATAATAATAAAAAGCAAGTTAATTTTAACCAACTCCGTTTCATTGTTATAAATCATTATTATGACAAAAAAAATACACGTGTTTATATTATTTTGTAAACGAAAAAAAAGCATGACTATAAAAGGTCACCAAGTGTATTAATTGGCGTATAATATGATCATCTACTTATACAAAACAAATTCGTCTAGCCAGCACATAGAATATTATACACTGTCAAGGTACTTGCATGTAAGGTTAATATATGACCGTCAAATAACGACGATATCTACAGAGTTGCGATTCAAATGTACAATCAATTTAAACATTGATCGTACAAATTACTCTACAATTAAAATAATGATATAAAATAGTTACATTAATTGAATAACTATAAACCAGCCTAATGGCAGTCAGCGGAATGTGTGACAAAAAGTATATCGAAAGAAAAAATTATAGTTATGCACTTTATAATTAAATAAATAAGTAATAAAAATACAACAAATAAAATAAATCTAAGCGATACTTTCATTTAACTAACATAGATATTTCATTGATATATTGACAAATAATATTTTAGATACTAAATAAATAATCATAACCGAAAATTTCATAAAAGTCGAATTAAAACCTAGCCGTATTATATTCACTAATACATTTTTAAGATACTAAATGCTCTTCCGTTTTTATAGAACTTTAAAATATATTTATGTTTTGAAAATACTTTGTTTGTGTATTTTTACGTTACAAATATTTTCATAATTCTAACGTATTTATTTCACTACGCCGTAACAAATTGATTGTCGGTTAAATAAATATTTTCTTAATTAATATTATTAATGATATCAACCTTATAACAACAATTTTATATTAAAATTCGTTTACACCCAAAATATGATTCGAAAATAACCGGAAATTAAACGTGTTACCTTGTAAATAAAATAATTAAAACCAATAAGTTTATATGGTGAGTCAACATTACAAGGCAATATTTACGAAGTTTCAAACAAGTTTAGTGATCTTATGAAAGGCAGCCTTCAAGTTCAATAACACAATTCTAATGCAGGCTCATAGATTGTTTAAAATATTTAAAACATTAAAGCATAAAGAGAATAAGAAGGAGTTTTTCTAAACGTTTTTAAAATTTAAATTAAAAATTATTTTTTAATTTATATTATAAATTTAAAAATCAAACATTTATTTAAGTTATATTTTGTTATTAAGGAGGATAATAAGTAAATTATACTTCCTTTACTGGCAGACTTTTTTTATATTGAGAAATTTTCAACATAGGTAAAGTTAAATTTAAAGTGAAACTCTTCTACCTAAAACACTAGTAAGTATTTGTGTTGAAGGTGTCTAAATAACATCTACAGCATATACTATGAAGGTGCAGTGTTTATTCTACATTTATATGCTTGACATAAAGATTTTAGCATAATTTTAAATAAAAAATAAAAAACCTTTCAGAAAAACTTTATTTATAACACTCACTGTTATACTATTGTTTACACAATAAAAATTGTTTCAAATTACTTTTTTTTTTAAATATTTACAACATAAAATTATTTTATAAAACCAATTAAAATAAACCCTATACAAATACTTCACTAAATCATACTATAAATCATTTAATCTTTGTACAATATATCTGCTTATTAAATAAATAAAAAATATTTTTTATAATATTAACAAAGTATAATTATTTTAACTCTATCATTTTAAGTATATTTGAAGAAATAGAATTGTGTATTATTAAAATTTAATGAATTTTAAATTATTTAAAGCTTTAATTTATTATACAAGTCAACATAATTATGTAATTAAAATTATTTTTTTCAAAATTCAGTCAATATTTTTCATTATGTTGTATTGTATAATACATAAAAACAACTATCACATATATTTGAGAATTTTTATAACAACTAAATAATAACTTTCTTACCTATAGCTAAAGATTTGACTTTATTTTTTCTCGTCCATGTTTCAACAACATTGTCCATTACTAAATTCCAATGTTTATCAAAGGCAATAATATATCCTTCACAATAACCTCGAACTGAAGCAGCAGATCGTGTATAGACTTTGGCTCGCTGTCTTCTATAACAAAGATTTGCTATGCGAGATAATGGTCCTTTAGATTTAGTTATTTCAGACATGCGTACCAAAACTGTTCGCCTACGCTTTACTATACGGTCATTTTGAGAAAGTTGAGACGTTCCAGCAACTAAAAAAAAATGTTTAAATTTATTAATTGAACTATATAAAGTCAGTGTAACTTACCATTGCTAAGATCTCTTTCCATTATTTCTTTAACATCATGTTCATCTTGTTTCTATGAATTAAATTAAATTAAAAAAAAAAAGTTATACTAAAGCAGATTTAAATATTACCCTTGGTCTTTGTGGCTTTATGTGGACTTCTCCAGTAGGAGTTAATTCAAACTTTGATATGTTATCATAAATTGGTGCTATTGTACTGGGCACCTTTACTTCACTTGAATATAATGCTTTAATTGGATTAAATAATGGAGACAACATATCAAGTTCTGCATCATCACTTCCAGAGGACATTCCGTCTTATATGTTTAAACTTTAATATTCTACAGTTAAACTATATAGTTAAATAGAAAATTTTCACTTTAATATTCAGATTTTATTTAATAAGAAATAAATTTTAACAAGTACTTATAAACTATTTGTTTGGTATCAAGAAGTTAAATTTATTATAAATTATATATTATACTTATTGAAAATTACATTAAGTAATTGCAATTACAAAAAATATAAAATATTAGTCGGTTATCATTTTTTCAAAATATGATAATTATTAAAAAATATTTCTAACGTTAACCTTAAAAACATAACCATTGAAATTTGTAGATATAAACGGCATCTATGCACGAATTTTTCTACTAATCATTTAAACGAATCGTTAAAATCATCCAATAGAGAACGATAATATTTATAGTTAAAATTTTTTGCCTGATAATTTTACTTACACATTTCTTTTTTTAGTTAAACATGTTTTTCAAAGTCAAATGGAAAAGAGTCGACAGACAATGAAGAATAGGAACAGAAAGTTACGGAAGGTAATATTGGAAAAATATTTTACTCTAAATTTCTATGTGATCTTTTTTCCAGTTAATTGTACTTTTCCCATTATTAATAATTTATCTTTTTATTTAATTTATTTAAAGAATTTGTAAGTATATAATAAAATAAAAATATTAGTAAATGAATTATGGCTTATTTTTATGATAATTTAGTAATAATCAAATAAATTAATTAACTAGTAATGTACATATCATTTTTAAACATACAGTTAGACTAATGTGCCAAGAAAAATTTTTATTCATACCTGAATTAAAAAATTTGCTTAAATAAGGGTTAGATCCGTACTTTCATCAAATATTAAGATAATGGAATTTTAAAACTATCATTTTCATTTTATATTATTATATAATTAAATCGTTTTAATTAATAGTAGTAGTTAATTTAAATAATTTAACAAGAAATAATGAATTTATTTTTACACAATAAGGAGTAACTTTTTTATTTTAAACCACTCAATTACTAATATTTATAACTCCAAATGCCTTAGAATTGAAGCCACATCTTATTCTTAAAAACAATTTAATCTGTTCAATTATGAGTAAAGTACTTTTGTTTAGTAATCAGATTAAATTACAAATTACTGTACAGAGATTATTAATTAAACTACATAAAAATTATTTAAGTCAACAAGTTATGAAGTCACATTATTTCGAAAGTTCTTTTTTTCATTTATATGTTAAATATGAAATTTATTTAAATTAACTGACTTATACCACTAATAATTCCACTGAAATTTCACTCAAGGTCGTATTTAAAAATTCATAATTGGTGAGGGGAGGGATACAAAACAATTTTTAATTGACATGCTACTATAAACATATTTTACAACTATTTTTTACTTATTTTGAGCTAATAATCAACAAAAAAAAGTCAACAAGGTTTTTATATATCATTGTCGATGAAGGGATCACGCCATTGTACTCTTTGAATTAAATAGTATTGTTCAACTAATCATGAATATTATCTTTATCTGTATTTACAAGGAAAAAAGATTTAAAAATACCTTAACTTTATTGCAATAATGAAGTGAAAAAACACTGTTGGTAAAAATGACTTTTTATATATTATAAAATTGAAGTACATTATATAGTCTATTCAACAGTCAGAAAAAAATTGACACATTAGTAGTCCCTTTACCACATGCATAATTTTATTAATAAAAATGTAATATATGGATAATTTTTTGAAATTATTGTCTCCAAAATATAAACAGTATCGAAAACTTACTTTAGAGACCTCTATTAAGGTCTCCAACCGTGTTTTTTTTTCGAGCTATTAAAATTATTATTAGTATAAATTTTAGAAAAAATAATTTTTTATGTCATCAAAAAAAAATATTTCCATACTAACAATCAAATTAGATAGGTGATATAAATGTATAGCCGTGATATTAGATGCAATCCGTTTTCTGAGAACAAATAGCATAATTTGAATTAGGTATAATCATTTCTGTTTTATAAAATTAAATTAGAGTATTTAATATCATAAAATAAAGAAGAAATATTTTTATCAAATACTACTATACATTGATGAAATAGAGTTTTATTGAATTCCTCAAAAAGCATCATGAGATGAAGTTACTATTATACAGAATAGCAAGATATTATCAGTCTGACCTATGTATGTTCTTTATTTATTATTATATAAAATACCTTTTTTAATCTTTAATATTTCTATAATGGCTAAAGAAATTTTCTTACATTAAAAAGATTCGTTATGAATTAAGGGTAAGTTATTGGTATGCCAAGAATTCTATTTTTGTATAAACGGTTTATAATAATAATTTTTGCTGACCATTGACGATAATATTAACAACGAAGAATTAATTAATGTTGAACAATTTGATAAAATTTATAAACTTCATTGTTCAATGTTGATGTTTTGTTGATTTAAACCGTAAACATCTTATTTGAATACTAAAAACAATTTTCGTTATGATTTTAAGAACCGAAATAATAAATATACTTTCAGCTTGTTTATTCGGTTTACCGAGGAAGTATTTCAAACTCAAGTATAGTTTAAATTTAAAAATACATAAAAAATAACAATTATATTTTTTATAAATTTATAGATCTATTTAAGTTTAATTTTAAGAATTCTAGTGAATTTTTTATAAAAAATAAATAAATTACTATTTGAAGAGTTAAAAGTTTTCTGTAGAAATATTTTTTTTTAATTTAATTTATAAAATATAATCATCCCCTAAGATTTTTGATGTATGATTTTCTTTTCGATTACTACCAAACACTCTTCTCTTAATGCACCACGTAGAGAAAAAAATACATGATATAGATACATAAATGTATTTATTAAATGTATCTATATAATAGCTCAATAGTTATAACACTTCTATGTTTCTGTTAATTGCTTACTTAACACATTGAAGTCCTTAAAAATATTGATATGCGGAGAATACAAAGTCACATTCATTATTATTTTTTTATTCAACTATATAATTGTCTAAAATCCATGTAATAAGTAGGTGTTTCTATAATTTATAACGTTTGGTAGATTTTATCAAAAAATAAAAAATAATTGAATGCAATCAATTATTGACTACTAATTTTTCTTCGAAATTGGATAGTGGTATTTATAAAATATATATTAATATTTTTCAATGTTATCTTTGATAAAAATATCGACATTGAATATGAAAAAAATGTTTGTTATATATGTTAAGTGGGTACACTTGTGTAAATAGTACTATGCACTTCCATGTTTATTGTGAAACTAACGTATTATATGATGATCTTAGTAATAAAAGCCTTCATTCAATATTGTGTTTATAACGTATATTTATGTAAGAAACAAAATGGCCTTGGATTAAATGTAATTTCTTAGATAATATCAATAATATTGGTTAATATAACATATCTCTTTATTATGATTTTTTTTAATATTGTTCCTATCACAATCCTTTAAATATTCAATTAATCAGAGGCAGACTGGGAGGCCAACGGCCCAGGGGGCACATAAATTTTGGCAGTCATGTTCGCTCCAAAAAAATGTTAAATCGATAAAACAAAATGGTATTTGAAAAAATAATTTAACACTCTGGAAGTCAAAATTACCCATAATAATTAAAAATTTTCATGAATGGTACATCAAATAAACCAGATTATACACAATCCAACGCTTGTCAATACATATTATCAAACATTTTAAAGATTAACAAAAAATATAATAGTTAAACGTAATTCTTTATTAGATACAGCTGGCTTAATTACGCCATCCATTCGCTTTATAAATGGCGGTCCAGGAGACGATTACCCCATTGCACTCGTACTCAGTCCTCCATTAACAAAAGTATTCGTATTATTATTTCTTTAAAATCTTTACATTACAGCAAATTAACACAAAATCCTAATAGACAGTACGTGTAATAACGATCTAGATACTAGCCTTTGGTTCACTTACCAATTTAATTTCCTGTGAAATTCTTTACAACTATTGATCTTACTTATATGAATAGTCAGAGGGTAAAGTTCCACAAGGCGCTGGTCTCAAAATTACTAATATTGAGTTAAATATTAATTCTTATAATGAAATAAGTAGATCACAATGACTTCAATATAACTGATTCTTGTAGCGTATAGATTTCACACATAGTTTTATTTTTATTAATTCGATTAAAAAGAACTTATATTTAATTTGTTTCTTATTATTTTTGATTTATCTAAAGACAAACTCATAATTTATAAACAATACATTTTGTACAATAAACGAAATTTCATGAAATTATTTTAAGATTATATAGTATGATAAATTTGATAGTAAGGTGTTAATGATAACTTGAAAACACAATTAGTAAGGTTATTTGGAAAATATATATAAATTATAGAACACTAGAAACAATACGCTTAACTATTATTTATTATAAATGTCAAATTTTTATTTTTATTTCAAATTTGCGTTTGGTTTATAATAAGAGCACATAACTTGTTAAACACGTTTATTTAGAACCTTTTTTATTGTGTACCGCGTGTATAAAATAGATGTAAAAATATATACAAAATAATATAATTATGAATATTGATTATAATGTCATGTAATATTCATAATATAGATTTTATTTTTAAGTATTGAAAATCTTTGGAAGTACCATAACTATTGTTTCCCAAGGACGACTTTATTTTAACCAAACAAATAATCAACCAGTTATAGTTTTATTTCAACAAACAATATTGTTATATAAATATAATACAAAACATCAAAATTTGTTTTTAGTAATCATTTTATATGATGGAAGATACACAATAAGGATTGTTTTACGGCATTTGATCTAATAAAACTATATAATATTAAGTTATTGTTTTTTATTTATTATAATAGTACTATAATAAATAAAAAAGGAAGATTAACTTAATTTAATTTATTTTTAACAATTCTCTAAGTTTACATAAAAATTATTTATCTATAACATCATTTCTATAATTAGGACTATGAAATGTTACATCAAGCATATACAGAGTGATTCTTTCAACGCTAGTCAAAAGAATCACCTTGTACATATATATATTTTTTTACTTGGTTTATAAACAACTAGATTTTCCACGTTAAAGTTATACATATAGTGGTATATATTATAAATATATATATACATATTTGCTTTTTTAAACCATTAAGCCTTCCCCAAAAGAGGAGGTTTCTTAACCATTGATTTGTTTTCTTTTTTACTAATACCAAAAATAATTTATATAGTTATCCAAACCGCCTGGGTCAGGGACTCGCATATCGTCAATCTGGCTTTTGTAAAACCAGCTCCACCAGGACTGCCCCTGTCCTCAACCGGTTTTGTAGAAGACCGCTGCAAGCCTTCTACTACAATGCCTTTTATGGACGACGTACTCCTCTGGTGTCCAGAGGCTGAAACTAAAATTGAAGACTTTACCGAATGTTTGGTTAGTTAATTTTTCTAAGTTCATTTTAAATCTTGTATTAATAAAATATATTTTTATAGAGTAACGAGGTATCCGGCTTAGGTGAATTACTCCAGTCGGATATATCAAGTGAATTTGACAATGCCTTAAACAGCACACCTAGTGGACAAAATGTCAATGTTACGGGTACAACTGGCGATGAGGACATTATTAAACAATTGTCTGACTCTTCTGCATTTCTTGAACAATTTTTTGATTTTGTCAACTGTGATATAAAGGTATAAATCATATACACAATAAGTAATTTAATGATAAGTAATACTTAAAAATATCAAACAAAAAAAAGTGACAATCTCTAGTGTATTGAAGGTTCTAGAGAGGTGTTATTTGTTTCCAATAGCGTATTTAATTAATGGTTTTTAATTTCAAATAATTTAGATAAGAACTATAATTATCGATTTTAGCATTTTTTTTAATTACACGAAGTTACTTTGTGTAAACTTATTTAAATTAATAAAGCGTTTGAAATTGTTATTGAATTTAAAAGAAAGTTTTTTTGCTACTACTTACAGTCATAATAAGTTGCCTACCTTAAACGCCTTACATAAATAAACGATTTAATGCTTAATTTTTTATTGTATGTTAGTTAAATTTTATTGAATTACATCTTAGGAAGAAAACAATAATAATGTTGTGACATCAGGGAACAAAAATCATGCAGCAGTTGCTTTACTTCAAGAATTGCAACGCACAAATGCTGGAAAGAAACTCAACATCACATCTGCAAATCCTCTCTTAGCAGGTAATATAATAAATATAAGTATATACATTATTTATTCTTATTAATTTTTATTACATAACTAATTATTAACATATATAATTTTTTAATTTGTTCTTAAATATAACTAAATTATTTTATGATAAAATTGTCTATTACGATAAGAAAATATTAAATTTTTTTTTATAAATCTAATATTTACTATAATACATATACATTACAACAGAGTATAATTTGTAAATTGCTAATTATCTGGCCTCGAAAAATGATATAGTTCAGATATAGGAAAAATTGTATTCTTATAAATATAACATATTTGACAAAAAAGCTGAATCAATTCTGTTGCCTAATTCCGAAAATTGATTAGTCATAAAATTAATAATAATATAATGAATGGTGTTAATGTAAAGAGTAAAAAATGTTTTCTTTAAACTTCCTCTAGATAAAAATTTATATTTAAAATCTATTTTGAAAAAGTTTCTGCTACTTTTTTCTGGCCTTTATTCCAGCTACTTGGGATCGGCCACCCTGATTCTAAACTTCCGCTTAGCAAGATCTCTCACATCATCTACGTACACATCACCCATTATTATCCCTACATCATTTTTTGTATTAATCTTACCTAAGTATTTATTTTATAGCCCTCACCAATTTCCCTTTGGTTTTTTTCCTTTCCACTTAGTTTCCTTCACACAGCAAATATTAACTTTTCTCCTCTTCAATACTTTTACTAATTCTCTACTTCTACCAGTGTAGTGTAAAGTTCCAACATTCTACGTAACTACTCTTACTTTGTATATGTCTTTCTCACCTATACACGAGTCCTGCTACCGAACTAGTTTTTCGGTTGTTATCAAACACTTTATTCTTTAGGCCTTCTACATCTCTAACTACTTCATTTCCTCTCACCTGTGTTACCGCGTACATACCAGATTAAACAATTCTTCTAAGTATTGTTCAGGACTCCTCATACTTTTTGACAATTTTACATCGGTTGTCAGATTGACGTAACCTCATTCTCATGTCATCTATTACGACTGGCAGAGTGGTCGTATTCTATAAGTATTCTTATCATCCTTCCACGGGAAAAATCATTGAAAATGTTTATTTATTATATTCTCAAAACGATAATTGCATTAAAATTGTTTTTTTACAAATTATATAAATTTTATTTTTTTTTTATTTATGCTTAACGTTTTTCCTTAAAAGCTAAAACTTATACGAGAAAGAACAAAAAAATCTACATGGTCAGAACAATGAAATCGAACCCAATACCTATACACTAAGGTACAATGAATTACTAACTTAAGTAGTGAATTTTGTCTTAATTGTAGGGTAACAAAGTTCTTTTTTTATTTTTTATCTTAAGTTATTACTTACTGTTTTGTTATTATCTATGTTGTGTCTATATTATTTAGTAAAAAATATTGATGTGAAATACTTAATTATCATATTATAATTACTATTGCTGTATATTGCGTATTTAAATATGATACGACCAAAAAACTAGATGTATAATATATGTATTATCATTTAAATAAATAATAAAAATTGTTTTTAAATTTTATCTTGAAATAAAGTATTTTTTTAAATGTAAAATAAAACTATACTAAAAGACTATACTAGCAATATTAACATTTAAGTATTTTTTAAATTATTAGATGGGTATTGTTTAATTAACCATACAATGTAATTCTAAATTTAATACGCCTGTAATATTTTTGTTGTATGATAAAACTTAATGTTTTTTTACTGAACAAAATTAATTTTATTGTTTTTTTTTTTTGTGTTTTTCTTATACTAAAATTTATTTTGACTTGTGCTGTAAAAAAAAAAATTGTTTTATTATAATAGTATTATAATTTGATTTCCAAATAAAATCATATCTATTTTATAGAATCATTAAAAATTATATCTAAGTATAAAAGACAAAATTTGTTGTATTTAAGTAAAAATAATGTTAAATGAAATATTTAACATTTTTGATTGTAAAAATACAATATTTTTATTTTATTTCTTTGATTTTTAATTTTTGGAATTTATAAATTACAAAATTGATTATCACCATTTATTAAATTAAAAAAAAAAAAAATTAAAGTAATGATATTGATAAATGTTTTTAATTTTAATAGTTAAATGTTGATTCACAATATTAATTATGTATATTTTGTTGCCTACTGTTGCTCCAGAAGCTTTGTTTATAAATTACCAAAAATGCATACATCGCTATTGCTTAAGTGAAATATTTTAATTAATTTAATTTAACTTTTAAATATTTTTTTAAGTATTTTTAAATTAAATTTATGTATTTTTAAGGGAAATATTTAAAAAGGCATTTAGTTAATATTATAAGGGGGGTGGTATAGTGCAGTGGATCATTCAATCGCCGTCTTAGGACTAATATTCAGCTGCGCTGTTTACTTTGGGTTCACGATGGATGACCATATGGGAACTTTAACAGTGATACACATCTTTTTTTCATATCGGTTTCCTCAACCATAGTTAAATTGCGTCACGTGCAAAGCTAATGGAAATTCTGTCAAATCATTAAGGCAGACTCTAAATAGTTCGGATAGAGATGCTTGGCTATGACGATCAAGATGATTTAATTAATATAATAATCATATTATTTTGAATAAACATTTGTAAGAATATGTTGTTCAATAAATTTATTAATAGTTTGCATAAAGCATTTTAATTTTAATTTTACCCTAAACTAATATTAGATGATACATTAATAATTAATGGTTCTATATATTTGTACATATAAATGTATTTTATTTATTATGACAAAATAATTTGAGTATACCTTAAATTCTTTATTATGTCTACAATAAGAAACATTTTTAATATTTTATTTCCAGAAAAACTACTTAATCCTGTACCTCAGTTCAATTCAAATGCGAGTCAAAATTCAGCAGAACTATATATGAATCAAAACAAGTACAGTTCTGTCAAGACAGAACCAACTTCTATTAATGATACAGGTAGATAACTTATATATCATAATTTTTATTTTAGAATTAGTTTAAATGAACTGAAATATATAATTAGTTTTCCAAGCTAAAACTATAGTTAATATTCTTATATTTAAAATTATGGTAAAAAAATAGTACATATGTTAACATTATTAATCTAATTATTATTAAACATCATAATGTTAAATAAAATTTTGTTAAACACTTTTAATTTTATTTAAATTTTATATTTTGAATTTTTATTAAAATGAAATACCTTAGTAAAATTAAAATTGAAATATGCTATGTATGTTATTTGGTTTATAATAAATTTTTAAATTACTAAATAAGCAATTATTTTTACTAAATCATACAATTTGTATTGTAAATATAAATTTAACCAGTTCGTGTCTTAAGATAAATCATCTGGATATAGTTTTTCTCAAAGGGGTATAACAGTTATAATATAAATGTTCATCTGATAGAGGGCGCCACTTTTAACTATTTAATTGCCAAAAATTTTATCCAAAAATAAAATCTATTTATTATTTTAAAACAATATATCTTTAAAAACTATAATCGCTTTCCGAAATATTAATAAGTCTTACAATTATTTATAGCTTCGTTGCATGAGATAAAGTCAATGATTATTTTTAATTTTTACACTACTTAATGGAGTATACATTCGCAATGATTTTATTAATACATTGTCCAGAATGTTTTGGCTACTTTCCAAAAGAAACATACTTTAACGTGATTATTGTGAATTGGTTATTACTTTATATGATTTTGTAGTAATTTATTTGTTAACTTTATTAATACTAAGTTTTTTTATTCGTTATTTTGTTACAATATCATAATGTATAGATTTCTATAGATAATATTTACAAACATATATAGCTGTAACATATTTTATAGTAACATATAGTGAACAAAAACTAAGAACGTTTTTAAATTAGCTGTCTAAAAAACAACAGTTATTTTAATTGCAATATTTATCTTTCGGCTCTAAAATTCATTTAATTTTTGGAGTCAATTAAACCGAATATTACTTTTGACACTGTTATAATTGTATAACTCCTAAGATAACTAAATAAAAACAATTGAAATATTTACTTTAATTATTGGAGACATTACTGATTTTATTGATTTAATTTATTGCTTTGTGGTTACTTATGTTAAAATATACAATCCTTTCATATTTTTTAGTTTAAATCAGATTTGAAGTTATTTAGAAATATTTTCAATTCAAATTAGTTCTAAACTTTTAGCTGAAATAAGACATTTCATATAATTGTATTTCGTATTAAAAGATAATGCCAGATAAGTGCAAAGACCTCGCCAATTTAATACACTTTTGTGTATGAGCTCATTTATTATTTACTGAACTCATTTCAATTTTTATTACCATGAAATAGAATAATAATTCAATTGTTTGTACAGTTATATAGTTTTTGTAAATATTTTTTCAGTTCCTGAATATAATTTAATTTAGATAAATTAATTATGAGTTTCTAATAATTCAAGTAAATATTTAAACCTTACATTAATCATATACTGGGGCTTCGCCTGGCGGTTGGTAACTTGGGCATTTGCCCTAGTCTTATTTTTAATGAAAATTGGAACTGGACAATTCGCGCTCTTACTGACACTTGATCGGGTCATACTTTAAGCAACCCGATTCCTCGTTAAAAGCCAATTTATAATAATCAAAGAAATGGAGTGAATTCGATGAATAACACTTATTATTTTATATTTAATTATTAAAAACACTAAAGAAATCCGATTTAACAGTTTCACCCTTTGTGATCAAAGTTAGATACAATACAAATTTTTATTTCACTATTATATACAAAGCATTGTAGTGAAACATTCCGAACTTTAAATCAAATAAAAAGTTTTTTAATGATTTATTGATATTGTTCAAACCATATTTACTAATACTATATCATCAAAATCATTTATGTATAATTTAGAAACCTATAAACGAAGGTTTAAAGCAAAAATTCTTTGGTCTTTGGTCTTAACAGTCACAGTCAATAGTTTTTACTGAAATCTATTATTCAATTAATGTATACGTGAATAATTTTCTTTTTGATTATAAAAATCGTTTCATAGAAAATTATTCATTTATTATCGTTAAAATAATATTAAAAAAAGATCTGTTATGTAATTTTTATATTAAGTGTACTAGGGTTAAGTTATTAGGAAATTAACCTCTGTCTTATTTTTATGTATCATATTACTTAGGATGGCATCCAAGTAAAAACTGTCCTTATTTAAAAAATATCAGAAATTTAAAACTTTGGATTTTTAAATTTTTACTTTTATACAATTGCTTTTTAAAAGGCTCCGATAGGTTGCGCCACAATATGACGTAGATCATTGAAAAATACAAAACACAATTTCGGGACATCACAAATTGTGATCTGGGTGATTTTAGTTCAATGATCGATTAGTCAAATTTAGCTTATTAAACATTTTTTAAAAAGGTTTTATCAAAAATCGGGCTTCCAATTATGACATTTTGTTAAGTACCAGTATTGACTAGTAATGAAGTATTATAATAATACTGTCAAATTATCATTAGCGTACTAGCATAACCCGTAGGAAACTTATAGTAGTGTAGTATTGACTGGCGTCATGACTCAGTACTTATCCAGTATTGTCGGTCAGTACCTAATAGCCATTGCTGGGAAAGTACTGGTGTAATATTTGTTATTACAAAACCTCTTGTACTGATCTGTTAGTGCGGTAGAAGGTTATCATTCCAGTATTGGTCCAACAATGGTAGCCACTACTACGCCAGGATTGGCAGTACGGATGCAGTATTGCGCCTGATTTTTTTTTTAAGATTGTTTCTCAAAAAAAAAAAAATTAATTTTGCAAAATTTTAGACTTTAGCTTTAATACTTTCTACATTATTTATTTTTAAAATATCTAACTATAACTTTTTTTATCTACTTTTTATTGCAAAATTATAACTATAGCTTTAATTTAATTTTTTATTTTGCTAATTAAGACAACTATACAATTAACCTACTATTGAATTTTTATTAATTTTTCCTCATTATTTAAATTATGTATTTACAATCTGTTCTAAATAAATAATCAGTAAATTATTTTAATATTCAATAATGGAAAAAATTTATTTTGCAACGCAATAACATATTATGTAAAACTTTTCGGCGCTTTATAGGAACAGGTGTTTCAATAATTCTGAGAGGAAAAGTTTTACATAGAACAATTAAAAACTTTAAATCAATAAATTTATGCCAAAAATGCAACAAATAAGTTAACATTACTAGAACGTACCACGAGTTAATGTGTAAAAAATCGTTACATGTTTTGATTAATTTTTATAAAAAAAATATGTTAAAATAGGTATTGAGTAATATTTTTCAAATATAGTAAATAATATTATATTAAAATGTAAAAAAAAATAAATTGAAATGAGACTGTAAATGACGATTTATAGAGAAACGAAAATAGAATTATGTTAGTTTTATAATGAATATTACTAACTCCATCAATAATCGAATAAAAAAAAAACTCAATCGGTCAGGAGGGTTCGCTTGCAACCACCACTTGTGAACTATTCTTTATTATTGAAATTGGATTATATACATATGCGAAAGAAATGTATTCATTTTAAAATGCGATTAAAATAATAAATGCATGGAAAATATCTCTGACGGATAAAATAAACCCAACGGTGTTAGCAATATGAAAACGACTATCTCCAGAAACTGCTTTTTCGTTGTCGGCGGCGTCCTGGCGCTTACAACATGGTCTTGTGATAGCTTCCTACATACTACAGCATACATGTCCGGCACGTCTCTACGGACAACAACAAAAAATAATAACAATAAAAACGGATGGTTACACAATGTAACTTCCGAACCGCCGCCGTAGGAGGCTCATAAAACCTCATAGTTAAATATCTCACTATTATAAAAAAAGAAGGCTTTTTTATAGTATGCTGCATTGATTCGCGATGGCAATAGCAACGGTTGCAGTTCATTCATCTTCTTATTCCGAGAACTGGCTTTCTCATACACGAGGTTTAATTAGTGCGAGTAATTCGCCTGGAGGCCCAGCAATCCGTTTTTCAATCGGCCGGTGGACGGCGCACAATAGGGACGCAGACGGCGAGCTGCGACAATGAGTTCGATTTACTTCGAACTAACAATTATTATTTGTGTTATTATTATTGTTGTTATTATTATTATTGGCCTGCCGGTTACACATTATACATATTGTACGACTAGAAAAGATCCGTATTACCGAGAATAAACCGTTGCCAATCAACGATGCGGCGGTGGCTTCTTCCTCGTCATCTCGTGTTCGCATGCGGCGCACAATGTTCGTATGTATTATTACTATTATTATTACAACACACGCTTTTGGATACGTGTGTGCGCGTATTGTTATCTGTTGCCGTGCGAGGGCTACCGGATGGATGCTGCCACTGTTGTATTGAGTGCCGATGACCCTGCGATGCGCCGAAATTTCGCATAATACATGTGTCGCTCCGGGGGACATCATCACGACACACGCAAACCGGAACAAGAAGGAGTAGGAGAAGATGATATTAGCAGGGTCCCACGGGGTTGACGCCGTCTGAAGAATGCGCTTTATAACTGCATAGGGCATTGCCATATTTTGTCTACAAATTCAGTCATTAGAATCTATAAAATATGAATTTTTAACACTGCATTGATTGTCGCGCGTATTATTTATTATGCGGTTTTCAATAAAAACCTGATTTCTTTAAGTTGTTTCAATATAAACATAAAATAAGTTCTAGTACAAGAATAACAATTGTAATGCATTTGAAATTTATTTGTTATTTTACGAAAAACGTTTTGGACAATCGCGTTCAAAAATACCACTTGATTTTAATCAAATATAGCTCGACAATCACCTCGCAATTTGTTAAGTTGTTTATCGTCGGCCATTAAACAGTTATTGGTCAATTTGGTAAACTCTTATCCATCTAAATAGTTACATCGCTAATACGTTTGATA